GTAGATTAATATTAATTTTATGTTATATTGCAATTTAAATTTTAAATATCTAGTATAACATAAAGTATTATTTAAATAATAAAAATCTTTAAAAGTATATATAATTTATTTACTTTGTAATTTAAATATCTAAGAATTTTTTTTTAATCTTAATAATAATCAATCTCTTATCTTATAAAACACAAGTTCTCTTTCTACTCCTTCGTTTATCTCTGCAGACGCGGAGATAAACAATGGACTGGTTTGGATTCTGATAATGTTGCTTCTTCTGTTGATGACATTGTGTTCTGCAATGGCGTCTTTTTTGCCCTGGACAGTTTCGGAGCGATATATCACTGTGAGCTTGATCCAAATCCAAAGACTGTTCCTTTATGCAGCTCCTCGCCGTTTCGATACGACCGTTGCAAGAAATACTTTGCAGAGTCGGAGTACGGCAAACTGTGGGTGGTTCTAAAGAAGCTAGAGCTTAACGACGATAATGACTTTGCAATCTATTTCGAGATATACGAGTTCAATTCAGAGACGAAAGAATGGACAATAGTGAGAAGTTTGAGAGGAAAAGCTTTGTTCTTGAGTAGTCATGGTAATGGTAGATGTATAGCGGCTTCAGCAGGTGAATCCAGACCTAGAGAGTTCATCAAAGACAATTCTATTTACTTTGTCGATGGAGAAGATGCAAATTTTGGATCAGGGTCGCTGAATCTGAGCGTTTTCGAATGGGAGAGTAAGCAAACCAGGAAGCTTTACCAGCCAAGATCTTGGAATTGTCATATGTTTTGGGTCACACCTACATAAGTTCTTCAAGGATGAATGACTTAAGGTTCATAGTAGCACAGTAAAGGTTTTTTTGTTCCAATTTTGATTCTTGTATACACTACAAAGTTTGTCATAAGTGATTTTCTAAGGGTTGTTTTATAGCAAATATAAAGTTATGAGACTGTTTCAGCATCTATCTTTTGCTCAATATGTATTTTCACTACTCAAATTGAAAGCTAAACTTTTAGATTTATCAACCGCAACCCAGGAGGGTAACCAATTCACGAACAAGTCTATGTCAAAAAACTTAGTTCCTTGTTAGACTGCAAAACCCTGTAAACCTAATCACCATTGTTACTAACCAATCTGGAACTAAAACAGAACCAAATGCCCTCCTTCCAAATCTTGAAACAGTGGCCACAAAAGATAAACAAACCGATGGATTTGAGATCGACAAATGAGAGCAATGATACACAAGGATTCAGTGTATACAAAAACATAAAGAGGCACCAAACATACTGATACCAACATTTGATATGAAGAGTCTAGGACTAGTTACTTATGACTTCCTGGACATCTTAAATTTAAGACGCCTACAACTGTAACTGGATCTTATCGAAGGTGACGGTAGAAGAGCTTACCATCTGGTGAAAGTACTCAAAGACATGTTGGATGAATCTGGAGCAGGGATTGAATGACTGACAACAAGAGCCGGGCGCAAAGCTTTGTGGTTGGCTTCTGCCTCTTTGCGAGCTTTGTACATCTCTTCTGTTTCAACAACAACCATCCTCTTAACCTGCGTACATGCATTAACAACGAAAATTACACTTTTTTAAGTCTTTAACATTATCCTTCAGAGAGGAAAATGACAAACAAACATAGCAGAACCTGTTGAATCATTCCCCGAACGGATGAAGTGTTTGAGTGCAAAACAGTACGATGACATCGTTTAAGTCCCATAGCTTCAAGAGTTCGCCTGTGAAGCTTCCTGGTTCCTGGGAAACCTCTCACTAAGGTTATGTACAAGTTCTGGCTCCATTCAATGGGAACTTTTGCTTTAAAAGCTCTAAAACCACTCATCCTTTTTCGTCTCCTGTATAGCTAGGACTCTCTCTGTAACAATGGCAAATTATCAGAAACATATAACATTACGATTGAGAAAAACTAAAGATACATCACAGAAACACTAACTCAACTTTCTCTAGAAATCATAACCTGGCTGTTTGGTAACAGAGATAAATCAAGCAAACAGCTTCAATTACTTAAACAGCAAAAACAAAGGTAACATGAACTCAACTTTAATAACTAAGGATTGCCCACGCAACGCGTGAGGTTTAAAAATTAACATGGTAAAAATTAACTTAATAGTTTTAGTTATTAATTGTGTATTTGATATTATATAAATTTGGTGTTTATAGTAAATAATTATTTAAATTAGAAGATTAAGCATTTGTAGCAAATTCTTAGACATACACACCAT